GATGATGATGATGATGATGATGATGATGATGATTATGATGATGATGATGATGATGATGATGATGATGATGATGATGATGATGATGATGATGATGATGATGATGATGCGCGGGCTCTCACGGCTCGATTCGGTTCGCCGTCTGGGGTCGTGATTCCGATTCGAGTTGACTCGGTTCGATTCTCCGGCATCGGCCATGGCCAGCCAGAGCCAGGCGCGGCGATCCCGTTCTGATTCGACGCGGAGCGATCCGTCGGCGACCAGGTCCGTGTCCAACCCGACCTGATTTCCTGCTTCGATCCACCTGGGCGACGTCGAGAAACCATCGGCGTCACCCCAACATATTCATACTGTATGTGGGTCGCCCCCCCAGGGGCGACGCGCGCACCGAGAAATCTTACAGTATATGCGTCGTGGCGGGTGCTTTCTGGCCACACCGCCTCGGGAAACGATACGCTACAAGATGGGTATACTACATTTTCGGGTCGGACGCGCGCCTCCAAGGAGGACACACAGTACTACCATGTCCTTGTGCCTCCCAATCCAGGTCGCCCGCGGGGGCGCGAAGGCAGCCGCGCTTCGCGCGCCGCGGTCTGGGCCAAGAGCGGCTGCCCTTCTCCGGCGGGGGCCGCGCGAGGGCGGCGCAGCGGGTCGCGCGTCGGGATTTACTTGGGCGCGGTGCGCTGATGGGCCTGCTTTCCACCACCACCACCATAAGTTGGAGGGGGAGGGGGTCCTCCTCCTCCTCCTCCTCCTGCCTCCTCCTCCTCCTCCTCGTCCTCCTCCTCCTGCCTCCTCATCCTCCTCCTCCTTCCTCCTCCTCCTCCTGCCTCCTCCTCCTCCTCCTTGTCCTCCTCCTCGTCCTCCTCCTCGTCCTCCTCCTCCTTCCCCCCTCCAACTTATGGTAGTGGTGGAACAAAAAGGCCCATCATGCTCGCAGTCCTCCGACCTACAGACGCGCGGGGGGGGGGGGGGGCGACTGCGCGGCGTTCCGCGCGCCAGCTGCTGGCGAGAGGCCGCGCGGCGAGCGGCCTTTGCCTCCGACGCGGTGCGCCTCAGAGGAGGACAAGGTACCCATACCGTGGCCTTTGCCTCCGACGCGGTGCGCCTCAGAGGAGGAAAAGGTACCCATACCGCTACCCGTCGCCCATTTCCCCATTTTTCGCCCTCTCTGCGGGACCTCGTCGCCACCGTTGGATTCGCCTCGAAGTTCTGGTCAGAGCGCACCCCGGGAGAGGTCCGGGGAGTACTCCAAATCCCTCGTTAATCGTCCCCCGGGTCCAGTTTTTTAAGGCGCCTTTTTGCAACTGGGGGAGTCCCGTTTATTGGGGCGCTTTCTTTGGATTGGAATTTAGGGGGCCCGGTTTGCTAAGGCGCCCCGCCGAAGAGGGGTGTCCGGAATGTTAGGTCGCATTTGGAGGGGGGTCTGGCTTTATATGGGGGGGTCGTTTAAGTAAGGGATGCGGAGCAGCGGCATCGGTGCCTTTTGATCTCTGCCGTGCTGGGCCGGCGGTCTGCGCAGGCTACCGCGCGAGGCCGCTGCGGCCCTGTCGCCCTGCGCCTGTCGCGGGCACCCGGGGCGGTCTGGGGGCCCTCCGCTTGCAGGGGCAGCGTTGGGCTCGGCGGCGCATCCTGGGAGCCTGGTAGGCCCTCTCGGTTCTCGGGCCGAACGACAGGGGGAGATAGGGAAAGGGGGGGTTACGAAATCTGCTGCGTGCAGCTGGTTTCGGCCCCGCCGCCGGGCCCATTCCTCGATGCGTGGGCGCCTCCCGGCGCCGGGAGGCGCCGGGAAAATCAGCTGCGTGAGCTGATTTCCCCCCCCCCTTGCTATACCCCCCTTTCGCCCGGCCCGAATTATGTCTTGTGCGTCGATTGGCGTCGATGAGCGTCTGGGAGGGGATGAGATAGCGCCGATGTAGCGTCGGCTAGCGTCGATTAGCATCGATTTAGCGCCAATCAGCGTCGATTTAGCATCGACCAGCGTCGATTCGCAGGAGCCGAGAAGATGGTATGGGAAGCTTCCATGAGTTGCCACAGAAGGGGAAACGTTTGGGGGCGATGTATCGACCCCCGATCGCCCAGTGATCGCCGACCCCGCCAAGGAGCGCGTGGGGTAAGGAGATGGGCCGCCCTGCTGGGCGCCCCCCCCCGCTGCAGGTTCTGGGGGCGGCTGCTGCTTGTTGCGGCCTCCTCCTCCTCCTCTTCCTCCTCCCTCCTCCTCCTCCTCCTCCTCCTCCTCCTCCTCCTCCTCCTCCTCCTCCTCCTCCTCCTCCTCCTGCCTCCTCCTCCTCCACCTCCTCCTCCTCCTCCTGCTCTCCCCTCGATTTCCCGCCGCCGCGTCCTCGTGAGCGCGGCCCCTCTCTGCTCGTCGCTCCTGCGAGCTCGCGCGCGCACGCTCTGGTGCATGTCCTCCTTGTGCTGCAGGCTTCCCAGCTCGGTTGGCTGTGCCCTGCCCCTCCCCCCCGCGCAGGCAGCACTCGCCTCCCCCATTCCCTCTCCAGCTGCAGTCAGCTTTCCGACCTGCATCGCCGTCGATTTTGTCGTCGTCGTCGTCGTCGTCGTCGCTCTCTTCTTTGTTTTTCCTCCCTCGCCGTCTCGACGCAACATAAACATCGATTCTCGGAGGTCCGCGCGGATTTCTTGGGTCGGCGCTGGCGCGCGAACCGCGCCATGGGCGGCGTCAAAGGCGCCGCCCGGGGGGGTCCGGCGTCGACCAAGGCACTCCGTGCGGACCTCTTAAATTTGATGCGTTTAGGTCATTGTTATTTCCTCTACCTTCGCCTTCCTCTTTTCTCCTCCTCCTCCTCCGTCGGGCGTCCTCCCGCCCCGTTCTAACTGCTCTTCCATCCTCGGCCACCTCTTCCTCGCACCTCTCCTTCACTCCCCTCCCCACAGGGCCAGATGCATACAACGCCGGATCCGCCAGAAGGCTGAATGCCCGGAAACGTCCCGGGCGAGAGCCCGATACACGTGTGGCCAGGTGTCCTCCCAGCGCGCGGCCCTCCTGTGGCCGGGCACGCCGCTCTTCCGCACGTGCAGCCAGCAGGTGGCCTCCGAATGTTCCGCACGTGGCCCCAGCCCTCCGATCGCCTGAGCCGGGCACCGCCTCTCGAGGCGTTGGGCGCCGCCGCGCGGCGCCACGACCGTTCAGCGCGGGCGTCGCAAAAATTGTCCTGGCGAAGGACCCAACCATATGCACTTGTGAGTAACGCGTTGTGGGTGCCGCTTTCGGTGGAGCTCCCTATGGGGCCACGAAGCGCGTGAGGGACGTGCCGTAATGGGTGGGGAAGACGCATGCGGGCGGTGCCTTTGGGGCCTTCGGTGGGGCTCCCTATGGGCCACGAAACGCTGTCCTGGGTGTGGCGGGCGCATGTGGCCACCCCCACTGGGGCCTTCGGTGGAGTTCTCTATGGGGCCACGGATCGCTGTACTGGGTGTGGCGGACGCATGTGGCCACCCCCACAGGGGCCCAAAGGTGGAGCTCCCTCTGGGGCCGCGAAACGCTGTACTGGGTGTGGCGGAGGCACGTGGCCACCCCCACTTGGGCCATTAGGTGGAGCTCCCTATGCGGCCACGGAGCGCTGTACTGGGCGCGGCGGACGCATGTGGCCACCCCCATTGGGGCCTTCGGTCACGAAGCGCTGTACTGGGTGTGGCGGACGCATGTGTCCACCCGCATTGGGGCCTTAGGTGGAGCTCCCTATGGGGCCACGAAGCGCCGTACTGGGTGTGGCGGGCGCATGTGGCCACCCCCACAGGGGCGCTGGGTGGAGCTCCCTATGGGGCCACGAAACGCTGTACTGGGTGTGGCGGAGGCACGTGGCCACCCCCACTGGGGCTTTCGGTGGAGCTCCCTACGGGGCGACGAAACGTATAAGGGGTGATGGTAGTGGCGATGCTGCTGGTGATGGGGAGAGGGACGGGGGGCAGCGGGCGGGAGGAGACGCGGGGACCGTCTTTTCAGAACGAGGACACAACACCACAGGATGGTTGGGAACAGCGTGTTATTTTCGCAGTGTGCCCCCCCAGAGGTTTCGAATATTTCTTTGGGGCCAGTTCTTCAGCTGGTTTCGTGTTGATGTTATCAGGCCTTTATGAGGCCCTCCCCTGTTCCACTCCTCATCCGCCGCCTGGAGTGCCGTGGAGGGCAAGTCCCCGCGCCGCACCCTACAACGACGGCCACGAGCGCGCGCCGCCACCGCCCCTGCTGTTACTGACATCGCACGAAGAAACACGAGTCCTTCTCCCCCCTCCTCCCGCGTGCCCCCCCTCATTCATCTGGTCGTCGTGACTTTTTTTTGCGACGTGAGCCCCCAGAGGCCTGGACCCTCTTTCCCGACGACGACGACAAGCTTCTCATCCTGAGTCGTGTCTGGGTGGTCCCAGGGTCCTGCGAGGGCCCCCGGATGTCGAAGGCCGCCCAAACTTGTCGGCCGTGCTTCTGCTGCGACGCGAGGGGCCTCCCCCCTCCCCCCCTCCCGCAGCTCTCTTCCACCTGTTCCGGGCCGCCCGAAAAAGGCAGGACAGGGAACAGGGTGTTGCGACATCTGCTGCGTGCAGCTGGTTTCGGCCCCGCCTGCGTGAGCTGATTTTGCGCACCCTGGCCGAGAACGCAAATTTAAGGAACGAAGCCCGTCTTTGGCAATTGCCAGAAAACCTGTGTGCACGAGAAGGGCTAGAGGAACAGCCAGGGAAGGACCTAAGGAACAACGAGCCCCTTGTCCGAACCCACACTGCCTTTCTTCCTGCCCCTTGGCTGATCCCTAGCCTTAAGTCGGGCCTGTCATTCTACAGGAGGAGTATACAAAAATAGTCAAACAATAGTACCGGGATGATGTGTTGACTATTCCTAGGCTTTTCTATAGCATTTGTCTTGTATCTTGAACTTTCCCCCAAAAATCCGCCCTTAGGGGGACAGGCCCGACCTGACCCTACCCTATGCTATCCTTTCCTTTCGTCCCCCCCCCCCGACTCTTCCTCTCCCCCCTCCCTCGGCCCCCGAGGTGCGCGTCGAGGGCGACATGGTGCGCATCTACCCGCGCACGGAGGGGGCGGAGCCCGTGGACGTGGGCGGCGTGGCGCGCCAGGGAAGCTTCAAATGCAGCGGTCGGTAGGTTTTGAGACGGGGGGGGCCATGCAAACGGCAAGCAGTGGCGAAGCGTCCTGGCGTGCCTATAGGCCTACCAAACCATGTTCCAAGAACCTTTTGGTGGCTTCCACGAAATGTTCTTAGGACATGTATGGCTGGGACTGTCTTGTTTCGACACATCGGGTTGATGTTCTAAGAACATTGTTTTTGTGATTTGGACATTCTGGGTTCTAAGAACGTTTCGTGGTAGGTCTATCGGAATGCCGGGACGGTCGGTCCCTGCTCAAAATCGGGGGCTCAGCCAGAGCGCCGGACCTTATGGGATCTTGAGGCGCCACCGTTGTATTGACCCAGGCTGGCGCGCAGGATCTTGCAGGATCCTGCAGGAGCTTGCAAAGCCCGTTTGGCCCAGGCTTGGATTGACCCGGGCTGGAGGGTCCCCCAAGTTTTTTTTTTCTCCTCAATATCATCCAGTTCCTCAGGTTTGCTCAAATGCGTACCGAATGCATGCTGTCTTGTCCAAGCCTGCCGTCGTCGAAGGAGGGTCGTGCTGGAGGGTCCCCGAAGGAGGGGGCGGCTTCGCGCAAGACGTTTCCATTATGTTATCACAGGATTCCGTCGGTTTGGGAAGGATCTGCTGCCTCGTTGCGTGCCGGGGGTGCCAGCATCGTGCCGAGCGGCCGCGGGAGACCGGAGCTATCATGCGGAAGCCGATGGAGCGAGGCCTGCTGAGAGCCCAGATGCACAGGCTCCACTCTCGCGCGAAAGCCCTCAGAGGCCAAAGCGAATGATACAAATCACCGGGATTGACGAAGCAGTCCGCCCGACGTTTGGTGATATCGGCGATGTTCTCGGCGAGCCTTGCCACGGCCGTTGTTGGCCCACCCTGAGCTGCCGCCCGCGCCGCCACAGGGCGCACGCGTCCGCCCTTGCTGTCTCTCCTCCGTCTTCTCCTTCGCGTCTCCCTCCTCCTTACAGCCTTAGGGCTACGGAGCGCGTTGTCTACGCTTGCCTGCCAGAATGGACCCCAGGCAACAAGTGCACTGTGCATGTGTAAGCGAGGTGGTGTAATGTCAGCTTGTGATTATCAAATGATCGACACCCCTCCCCGGGGCTGATGAATAGACCCCGCGGGGCGCGAAATATTTTTCCCAACCACCTTGTGGTGTTGGGTCTTCGTTTTGAAGAGACGGTGCCCCGCGTTTCCTCCTTCCTCATCCCTCCTCCCTCCTCCCCTCCTCTCATCATCATCATCATCATCATCATCATCATCATCATCATCATCATCATCATCATCATCATCATCATCATCAGCATCAGCATCAGCATCAGCATCATCATCGTCATCGTCATCGTCATCGTCATCGTCATCGTCATCATCGTCGTCATCATCATCAACATCAGCACCATCAACATCATCACACGTTTCGTTGCCCCATAGGGAGCTCCGCCGAAGGTCCCAGTGGCACAGTTCGCATGCGTCCCCGCCATTCATTTCGGCGCACCCCTCACACGTTTCGTGGCCCCATAGGAGCTCCGCCGAAGGTCCCAGTGGCACAGTTCGCATGCGTCCCCGCCGCTCATTTCGGCACACCCCTCACACGCTTCGTGGCCCCATAGGAGCTCCGCCGAAGGTACCAGTGGCACAGTTCGCAAGCGTCCCCGCCACTCATTTCGGCACACCCCATCACACGTATCGTGGCCCACCCCGCCGAAGGTCCCAGTGGCACAGTTCGCATGCGTCCCCGCCATTCATGTCGGCACACCTCCTGGAGCTCCGCCGAAGGTCCCAGTGGCACAGCTCGCGTGCGCCCCCGCCGCTCATGTCGGCACACCCCTCACACGCTTCGTGGCCCCATAGGAGCTCCGCCGAAGGTCCCAGTGGCACAGTTCGCATGCGTCCCCGAAAGTCATTTCGGCACACCCCTCACACGCTTCGTCGCCCCATAGGAGCTCCGCCGAAGGCCCCAGTGGCACAGTTCGCATGCGTCCTCGCCACCCATTTCGGCACACCCGTTTCGTGGCCCCATAGGAGCTCCGCCGAAGGTCCCAGTGGCACAATTCGCATGCGTCCCCGCCTCTCATTTCGGCACACCCCTCACACGTTTCGTGGCCCCATAGGAGCTCCGCCGAAGGTCCCAGTGGCACACTTCGCATGCGTCCCCGCCATTCATTTCGGCATACCCCTCACACGTTGCGTGGCCCCATAGGAGCTCCGCCGAAGGTCCCAGTGGCACAGCTCGCGCGCGCCCCCGCCACTCATTTCGGCACACCCCTCACACGTTTCGTGGCCCCATAGGAGCTCCGCCGAAGGTCCCAGTGGCACAGTTCGCACGCGTCCCCGCCATTAATTTCGGCACACCCCTCGCACGTTTCGTGGCCCCCTAGGAGCTCCGCTTCGTGGCCCCATCGGAGCTCCGACGCAGGTCCCAGTGGCACAGTTCACATGCGTCCTCGCCTTTCATGTCGGCACACCCCTCACACGTTTCGTGGCCCCATAGGAGCCGCGCCGAAGGTCCCAGTGGCACAGTTCGCATGCGTCCCCGCTTCCCTTTTCGGCACACCTCTCACACGTTTCGTGGCCCCATAGGAGCTCCGCCGAAGGTCCCAGTGTCACAGTTCGCGTGCGTCCCCGCCATTAATTTCGGCACACTCCTCACACGTTTCGTGGCCCCATGGGAGCTCTGCCGAAGGTCACAGTGGCACAGTTCGCACGCGTCCCCGCCATTCATGTCGGCACACCCCTCACACGTTTCGTGGCCCCATAGGAGCTCCGCCGAACAGGTCCCAGTTGCACACTTCGCATGCGCCCCCGCTTCTCATTTCGGCACACCCCTTGCACGCTCCGTGGCCCCATAGGAGCTCCGCCGAAGGTCCCAATGGCACAGTTCGCACACGTCCCCGCCATTGATTTCGGCACACTCCTCACACGCTTCGTGGCCCCATAGGAGCTCCGCCGAAGGTCCCAGTGGCACACTTCGCATGCGCCCCCGCCACTCATTTCGGCACTCCCCTCACACGTTTCGTGGCCCCATAGGAGCTCCGCCGAAGGTCCCAGTGGCACACTTCGCATGCGTCCCCGCCACTCATTTCGGCACACCCCTCACACGTTTCGTGGCCCCATAGGAGCTCCGCCGAAAGTCCCAGTGGCACAGTCCGCATGCGTCCCCGCCACTCATTCCAGCACACCCCTCACACGTTTCGTGGCCCCATCGGGAACTCCACCGAAGGTCTCCGTGGCGCAGTCCGCATGCGTTTCCCTCACCCAGTGCAGGACTTCGTGGCCCCATATGGAGCCCCACCGAAGGTCCCCGTGGCGCAGTCCGCATCGTGTTGTTCGTTTTCGTTCGCGTTGTGTACCACGCCACTCATGTCGGCACACCCCTAGCACGGTTCGTTGCTTCATAGGGATCACCACCGAAAAAGTGGATCACAATTGCGGTACTCACACCTGCATGTGGTTGGGTCCTTCGTCAGGCTGATTTTCAACCGCGCGCGCCAGGGCGGGGTCGTCGCAGGAGCCAGCGAGGGGATCGTGTACCCCACTGCGCGGCAGCCTCAAAAAAACATGTTTTTTCCGTATGAACAGTTATTCTCGTGATCGTATATATCCAATGCGAAGATTCTCCCCCTCTCAGGCTGAAAACAATCGTCGTCGTCCTCGTCGTCGTCGCCTGCAGCGGGCGTGCGCAGCCCCCCCCCCCCCATGGGGCATCCGAGGTGCGTCGTCGTCTCCTTTGTCTCCGTCGACGTCAGAGGCGCCTCGTTTCCTCCTCCTCCTCCTCCTCCTCCTCCTCCTCCTCCTCCTCCCCCTCCTCCTCCTCCCCGTCCTCCTCCTCCTCCTCCCCCTCCTCCTCCTCCCCCTCCTCCTCCTCGTCGTCCTCCTCGTGGCGCTCCTCCTCCTTCTCCTCCTTTTCCCCCCTGTGTGTGGCCATTTTAGCCCAACCGCCTCGCTATAGCGGAGGCACTGCAGTCCCCCGCCGCGGAAGCGGCGCCGCTCGTCGCCCTCCTGCCTGCTGTCAGCCGGGCGTCGGCGCGAATCACCTGCGCCACCGCCGCGTCTTTCCATTTGGTGGGCGCACCCCCCGCGACTCGCACGCGGCAGGGAACCATTTGTTGAACCACGCGCCCTGCGTGTTTTCGTTAAGCGATTGAGCAATGAGGTGGGAGCGATGTGGTGCTAGCTTTGAGGTGGAAGCTACGTTGCGTAAACTATGTGGCGTAAGCTGTGTGATCCAAACTATGAGGTGCAAGCGACGTGGTATACGATGAGTGGTGCAGCATATGTGGGCAAGCTTTGCGGTGCAAGCTACGCGATTTAAGCTAAGCGGTGCGGTGTCCGGGGCGTAACATCCATTGCAAGGGGTTCGATGTGTACACCGCATCGTTTGGCTGGCCAGGGAGCCGAGGATTTTCAGTTTCACTCACGCTCCAGCGTCCCGAAGATCTGGAGCCGGAGGCGCGCACGCGCTGAGCCTCTGGGCAGACTAGACGACCTGGTGTATATCCCGCTCCCTGACAGCCCACCTCCAAACGTCGAAAACAGCATCGATCCTCCACCCCCGAAGCGTCGACGTCGTCACCGGCGCCCCCCCAGGCCGCGCCGCTGCCGCCTCCGGCGGCGTGCTGCGAGTGGTCGGTGACCGAGGTCGGGGGGCACCAATTATACACCCACTAACCACATCGATCTTGGCCATGCCGATCCTGGGCCCAGGATCGGTGCGTGTGCTTTCCTGCCCCTGGAGGGCGCATGCACCCATCCTGTGCCCAGGATGAGCCTGGCCGGGATCGGTGCCAGGTGTACACAGTCAGCAGGCCTACTAAGGACGCCCGCCTTCATCTAAGGTGCCCTTGTGCCCTGGCTTCTGCGGCCCGTCATTTGTCGTTTTCACGCGTCGTTCGCCGCCCAACAATATCCCAACTTCGGCCTCCACGGGACTTGCGTCCTTACAATCCGTCCTCACTCCCAGACCCCCGACGTCATGATTTTCCCATGACGTCAGGTTTCGACCTCATCCCCGGGAACGGCACCAGTTTTCCATTTCGAGTCGTTGTCTGACGGCCCCGAGACCCGGCCAGGGCCCCTGGAGCATGAGAATCCAGAAAGACCTCCCGCCGTGATTTCCCAATCAGTGCTTGCACTCAAGGGGTCCTAGCAGAATATGAAAGATTTAGCGAAAGTTTCCCGCCGATTTTGGTAGCAGGCTGGGTTCCCGGGTTCCCGGTTCCCGGGTTCCCGGTTATTGGTTCTGGGTAAATTTCGGTGGCCACCGGGTTCTGGGTTGGGTTCCTGGGCTCCCGGGATCCCGATCGATCTCTTCTGTGAGAACCATCCACTGATTGGGGGTTTTCTCGGGCGTATTTTTTTCATTGCTCGAGGGGGTCTGGGATACACGTTCTGACTCATGACTGTGCTGTGGCGCCCCTCCCCTGCGAGGGCCTGTCCCTGCTGGCGGTGTCGCCCCGGGCGCCCTTGGGCTGCGGGCCGCGCCCAGGCCCCGCTTGCGGCCGTCGGCGGCGTGCTTATCGTTCTTCGGGGTTTCCCTCCGCGGTGCCGCAGGGCCTGGGCTTCCAGCGTCGTTTCGACCGATGCCTGTCCCGATCCCTAGCTCCACCCCCCGACCCCCTCGGGTAATGAAAAGTTCATGACGGTAGGTTTTCACTCTTTCGGGCGTCCAGGGGCCTTTCCCGGCCCTCTGGACCGTCAAGAAACGACTCAGGACGAAAAACCGGTCCCGGGGAATGGGTCCAGACCTCGGGGGTCGACGCAATGGAAAAATCATGACGTCGGGGGTCTGGGCCCCGATCCTCATCCCCATCTCGATCCCCTCCCCATCCCGCTCTCCACCCCCATCCCTACCCCCAATCTCCATCCCGATCCCCATGCCCATCTCGATCCCCTCCCTAATTATCCCGATCTCTATCTCTATCCCGCGAGCTTCTCCGCCGTTCTCGCGCCACCGGCAACCGACGCGCCAGTCGCCGCGAACGCATGCTGACCTCCACGGCATCGCGTGACTACCAATGGCTGCAACAGAAGAGCGGGAAAGTTGGAGAACATGTTCGTGCATTGCACCTCTCTCTGCGTCGGCGCCCGGCGCGCGCAGTATTCCTGCGATGCCATGGCCTCGCCCGCTTCGCCCTTCAGGGGCCTGGGCGCTTGCCCGCACAAGCGGTCCGATCCGATCCCGATCCCGATCCCCACAATCCCACCACCCCTGTCGGGATAATATGCCCCTCGACACATCCCCTTATCTAGGGGGGCATATCGGCCAGGCCACGCCCATGAGGAAAAAGATCGGTCAAACGATACTCATGGGTGGCTTCGGCGAAAGTCAGGGGAGGGCGAGTTGAGACGACGATACTTGGCCTTCGGGGGGGGGGGCCCTCGCTGCCACGGCTGGACGCAGCTCAGGAAAAATTGCTGTGCCTGGATCCTGGGAAGAGTCCCCAGGTACAGGGACCGATTTTTTGAGCTGGCGCTGCCTCCATTCGCCCTGCGACGAGCCAGGGCTCGTGTTCTTGACCCACGTACATGTGGCCATGCTTGATGGGCTTTCTTTCCACCACCACAGCCAGAAGTTGGAGGGGGAGGGAGGCCTCCTCCTTCTTCTCCTCCCCCCCCTCCTCCTCCTCCTCCTCGTCCTCCACCTTCCCCCCTCCAACTTATGGTGGTGGCGGTGGTGGTGGTGGTGGAAAACAGGCCTATCACATGTGGCCATGCTTGATCTGTGACCCGTCGCCCTAAGCGGAACGCCAGCGGAAGTGAAACGGGCGGCGCCGCCGCGGGCGGGAATGGATTCCCCATCGTACATCCCCGAGTTGGGCCCGACAGCCAGTGGGCTTGTAAGAAGTTCATGAGAGTCGTCCACGCCGCGTGGCACTGGCTCCAGATGGTGGAGGAGGGCGGAGTTGGGAGCGAGCACGACCTCTCCAAGGCCTGCGACAACATCGATCATGGTGTTGCTGTCGAGTGCCTACGACGCCATGCAGTGCCTCAAGCCACGCTCTTTGTCTGCCTGGCGGCCTGGACTGCGCCAGGAACGTGCTGTGTGGGGCCCGAGCTCTCGGCCCCCATGTGGCCGACCGGGGGGCTCCCTCAGGGAGACCCCGCAGCTCCCAGCACGCTGGTGGCCACGCTAACACCGTGGTGCCCACCGTCGGCGCAGAGCCTCGCGTACATGTACGACCGATCCTTTCTCTCGGCCGGCGACCAGGGGCCCGACGCCGCGATCTCCGTCACGCAGTTCTTCGATCGTGACGCTGGTTTTCGGGAGAATGAACCGAGGAGGCAGAGGTGGGATGCGGACAGTCCTACTCGCATCGGACAGTCCTACTCACATCGGGCACCTCGAACAGACAGCTGTACCAGGCTTTCCTCAAGCTCCTGTCCTGCCACGCGGGGGATGGGTGAAGCTGTACTCGGGCATCTCGATCTTGGCTCCGCTCCCTGGCAGCTCCCAAGTTCGTGAAGTCCTGGGCGCAGCGTATTTACGGCCGCTGTGGTACTGGGCGGCACCTTTCATGGACGTGGTACCTTCGGACATCCCCGGGTTGCTGTGCAAAGCTGTCTTCAGAATGACATGCACCTGGTGGTGTTATGGCCGATGGTGGAGCAGGCGAATGCAGCTTCACCCCATATGTTCTGCAGCCGTGTTCCCCATCAAGCACATGGTGCATAAGAAGCTCGCATGGTCCTCTTACCTTGAGATCGCCATCACCAACACACGTCAACGCTCTGGGACTAGAGCTGGTACGGTATGATGCTGCCCGTGGGTTCTTCCTTCAGGCTTTGGCCCAAAATGATCATCGTGTCTAGGATGTTACACATAATGCCAACAACCAGTTTTGGACTGATGCCCAAAGTGTTGAACATGCTCATCGGGCTGTTGCCAGAGTTCATTGTTTCCAATGTGCGCAGACCACCCGCCAAGACTCAGAAGGTATTGCGGATGTCGAAGTGGTGCTGACACCCCACCCGAAATTCAAAGGGTTTCCACAAGCGGCTCACCCGCCAGCGTCAGAAGCTGGTGGATACTTATGTGTGCGGAGCCGCTTTCACGCAGACCATCTGTCAATCGGGGGTGGGCTGCGCGTGTTGCCACCCTTGTCCTTCTACGCATCACCTGTGGGAAGAACGCCCAGTCTTTGCAGCGATGCGCTCGAGGCTGGAACATGTCCGTGAGCTACCTCAGTCTGTTTGGTCTTCCCAACCGGGAATTACCTTAAAGAGCGGATGGGCCACCTGCCAGGGTTCTCCACGGAGAGCAGTACGTGTGAGGATGATGGGTGCCGAACTTGAGCTGGGCATTTCCATCCGGGAGCGCCAGCCGACGCTAAAGCAACGGGCTGCTCCTGATGCTCGAAATTTCTATATATTTCAGAGTCGATTCCATCAGGTAGTGCGACTCGTTCAGCATCTCTCGCCAATTTTTTTGTCCAGCCGAAATTCGGCGGCCAGCCCATGGGGGAAGTGAGCAGGGGCGGGCCTTCTCAGAAGACTCGGCAGCCCCCTGGCCTTCCGAGAAGTTTTCCAAGCCTCCCCGAAGACAGACGCCTTCTCAGCAGGTTGGAGGGCTTCCGAGAAGTTCTGCAGCCTTCTGAGAAGGCCTTCGCCGCCGAGAACCTCGCAAAAAGTAGAAAGTCGGGTCGCCCAAATCACCCCCCCGTCCTTTTTCAGTCCGCGGTTTCCAGGACCCGCTGCCCTGCTGCATTCAGGGCACTCCACCGCTCCGTCCCTCCGGACTTCCCCCGCGCCCTCCTCGGACCGCTCCTGACTTGGCATCGTTCGGGCGTGTGCATTTGTTCCCGGCGAGGACCATCGAGGAGCATCCTGGATCCTCTTGCGAAACACGCACGGAGAATGCACGTCCGAGCGATGGCGAGCCGATCGCTTTTGGGCATATGTCGGACGAGCTCCACGCCTCGACGCCGAGGACGCACCCTTGCCTCTTTGGCTGCCCCTACTTCCCCGCCCCCGAGGCTCTCTCGCCGCCCGGGACGGGGCTGCGCGGCGGGCCCGCTCGCTCCGAGCATGCTTGTTTTCTTTGTAGCGCCCTCGCCCTCCTTGGAGGCATCCCGAGCTCCTCGGCTCTCGATCTGTACTGTGTTGTGCGAGAGGGGATCAAGGCAACACTTTTGCAAGTACCGCTCTACCGGCTGCGTGGTAGAAGTCTGCCTTACAATTGGCTCAGCTACGCGGGTCTTGAACTAAAAAGCTGTGGTCGCAGCAACAGCGATCCACCACCTACCCCAGCCACTGCTCCATAGGCTATGCCATGCAAGTATCTGTAAAGAGATGGGGCTGCGTTCGCCCAACTCGCATTGACGGATTGCCGGCTATCCCCACTCCGATCTCGGAAAGCCACCGCAAGCCATGAATTGAGCAAGGCATCCTCGTTGATGCTTTTGAGGGCCCTCTTAATTGTGCTCACTAGCGCTGGGTGGTGACCCAGCACTAGCCAGCAAAAACGCTTTTGCTTGACCCTGGAGCCGTTGGTGTCGTAACGCCTCTGGCTCTGCAGGGCGGCTGCTCTAACCGCCTGCAGCGTGAAGCTACTTGCAAAGTTTGCCTTCAGACGCTCTAAGACGTCGTGCACAGAAGCTTGGAAGAGGTCTGGATTGCTACAGAGCTTGTTTACTCGGTTCACGTAAGCCTTCGGCCAGGAAGCATGGATCGGAAAACGGTGCGAGCTATTCGTCCCCAGCGGGGGTGCCAAAGCGGCGGGTTTAAGAACATGTGAACATTCGAATCTCCCATCTCCTTTGTGGATGGAAACTTCTAGGAAATCAACACTCCACATCGACCACTCTACCGTCAAAGGATAGAAGACAGCTCTGGCCCGCATTCGATCATAAAACTGTTTGGTCCTGGACGCTAGGCCTTGACCGAGAAGCAAAATGTCGTCACGGAATCTGAAATACCCCCTGATGCCGTGATCATCCAAAATGCTAGGGAGGAGGAGGTGCTGCTCCACGAGACCTAAGAAAGTGCAGTCTGCGAGCTCCCCGCTATGGAGGAACCCCATCCCTGAACTAGACATCACCTGGTAGACCCTGTCTGGCGAATCGTCCCAAGGATCCCGTACGAATTGGCACCGCAATAGAAAACGAATGACCTTCTCAAGGGTACTGTAGATGGTGTCGCGGACATCGAACAAGGACATGACGCACGACACGATCTGGTCTTCCGTACCGTTAAGGTAAAAATCTGTCACGTCAACCTTGCAAAAGTGCCACGCGCGGTCAGGGTGCAAATTTTGCAGCCTGCGGATCAGATCAGAAGAATCACGGAGGAGATGGGGCGCACGCTCGTCGAGCTTGTCCCGAAGAACTGAGACGACCCACGCGCTGAGCCCGCTGAAGATGTACGTGGGCGTCGCGTGCACTGGTCGGCACGATATTTCCCCTTCTGATTTGTGGTCCTTCACGGTGAGCTGCAGACGGCTGAAGAACGTTGCGTTCGAGAAGAAAACGGTCCTGAACATCCGTCTGCCAGCGTGCGGCTGCCCGATGACGTCGGCAACCTCGGAACACAAGTTCTTATATGTCGCTATGGTGCTATTCAGGAGGCCATGCGGGCTGATGCGTATGTACATGTTAGAGTCAAGTATCCTGGCCGACATCCCTGGGAGGTCGGACTCGCGAACAAAAGAATACCTGCTGTTCTTGTCGTTCGGAAGGCAAACGTACTCGCTACTCCTGAGGGTCCTCAAGGCAAGCCTTTCGAGCGCCGTAGAATTGGAATAACTTCGATCATCAAACCTATGTGCTGACCGGCTCTTCCGAACGGCATCGAGAAGCCTCTTTTTCACAGAAGTAAACCACCGATCCAACATCCTCCACTCATAGTTCGTGCCTATGCTGTGCTCTGGGCAAAACGGGGCGACCCGAGAAGAGCGAGGTAGAGTGAAATCAACAGCCTCTGGAGGGTACTGCTGGTAATACCACCGCCATTTGATCCTATTCGCGAAATCAGTGACTTTCAAACGCACGCGTTCCATCGATGGCAACCCACGTGATTGGAAAATGTGCTTCCTGTGTCGGCGCAAAATCAACCATTTAATGGGCCAGGGGATCGCACTGTCATCAACCATAGACTTCGTAAGGGGATCGTATCTTTTGACGCGGTGCTGATTTTCCTTCCAGTTGAGGATTGTGAGCAGGTCTCCAAAGTCCAGGCCCTCCGTGAGCCTTGTCATCCAGCGCACTGGCGCTGCAGACTGCTTCATTTCTTTTTGCTTTTGCCGCCACGTTGTTTGCCTATGCCTTTTCTTGTGTTGTCGCCCTTGGCCGTGTCCTTCCCTTTTCGTTTGCCGCGTCCCTTGGGGAACCCTTTGGTCTTCCAATTTCGTGACTCTTCGCCCTTGGCTGTGTCCTTCCCCTTTCCCGCACCAGCTCCTTTGGGAGACGCATTGGTCTTGCCCTTGCGCCTGTCGTCTTTCTTGGGATAGCCAGTAAACTTGTTGTTGGTGCTGGTGTTGTACTTGGTGTTGTACTTGCCCTTGCCGTTGCCGATGTGTTGTGCCCCCCCCCAGCTTGCCAGCCGGGGCGGCCCCGTTTTTTGTCATTACCGTTTCGCAGAATTTTGAGGCGGCAGGGTGCAGCTCTGGCTGATGGTCGTCCTCCATCCTGTCGGAGGCCTCCTCGGGCTCATGCTTCAGCTTGTCTTCGATGCGAGCTTCGATGACAAGGTCGAGGAGGTTTGCTGGGTCCTTTGCCAAGAGTTCACGTTCTTGTTCCTTTTCTTTGTCATGCTTCTTCCGTTCTTCTTCCTCCTTCTGGGTGACCTCTTTGGAAATTTTGTCCACTGCAGCTTGGTAGAGTGCTTCGGCCTTCTCCTGCACGGCGTCCTCGGGGATCGTCTCGTACAAGGGTTCGTTGAGGCCGAGGGCCGCCGCGCGGTCCTTGTCCTTGACCTCCCGGACCAGCGCGGAGACCGCCTCTGCAAAAGTATGCCTTTGCGCAGCCGCCCTCGTGGTCCCCATCTTGTGTTGGGCTGAAGCGAACTCGATGTCCTTGTGGATCCGTGCTGCCTCCCAGTGCATGTGTGCCATCGCCTCCCTGTGAGTGGACTCCTTGGGAATGGTGATGGTGATGCTGTACTCGCCAGTGGTGCTCTTCTCCCACTTCTCATCCAGCTCCGATAACGTCGATGAGGATCGGAACGGCCTGGTGCCAGGTGGGTATCGCCCTGGCCCTTCGGAGAAGATCTTGACGTCGCGCTCGATTCGCTCAGCCCTCTTCTTGGCGTTAATCCACTTCCGCAGGTCGCCCTCGAAGGTGGACCGCAACTTTTCGAGGGCTCCCTGGAGGTCCTTTGGGATCTTGCCCGTGTTACTGCTTGCCGCGGCGGGCGCAGGGGCGCCACCAGTGCTGGCTACTGTGGCGACGGCCGCTGCTGTAGTGGCTGCCACTGCTGCTGTGTTGGCCGCGGCACGCTCTGCCTCCGCAGCTGCGGATACAGCTGCCGACCCTGCTTGCTGCATCGTGGCATGCATAGCCTGGGTCAGCTGCCCAATATTCTCCATTATGGTCTTCTGCATCTGCATGTTTGATTTAATCATCTCTCCCATGAGTTGACGAAGCTCTGCAATGTCCGGAGTGCTCGTTGATTTGTTGTCATGAGCTCTCTGGTCATTGCCCTTACCCCGACGGGGGCTCCGCTCTCGGCTGATCTCGTCGAGCGCCGAGCGGAAGGAGGGACGCTCATCCCTTCCCCTCGTGGAGGCGTCGGCAGCGCCATTTGCCGCACCTTCTCGATGGTCCATGTGAACACTGTACTGTTGTGTGCGAGAGGGGATCAAGGCAACACTTTTTCAAGTACCGCTCTACCGGTTGCGTGGTAGAAGTCTGCCTTACAATTGGCTCAGTTACGCGGGTCTTGAACTAAAAAGCTGTGGTCGCAGCAGCAGCAGCAGCAGCCTTCTCAGAAGACTCGGCAGCCCCCTGGCCTTCCGAGAAGTTTTCCAAGCTTCCCCGAAGACAGACACCTTCTCAGCAGGTTGGAGGGCTTCCGAGAAGTTCTGCAGCCTTCTGAGAAGGCCTTCGCCGCCGAGAACCTCGCAAAAAGTAGAAAGTCGGGTCGCCCAAATCACCCCCCCGTCCTTTTTCAGTCCGCGGTTTCCAGGACCCGCTGCCCTGCTGCATTCAGGGCACTCCACCGCTCCGTCCCTCCGGACTTCCCCCGCGCCCTCCTCGGACCGCTCCTGACTTGGCATCGTTCGGACGTCTGCATTTGTTCCCGGCGAGGACCATCGAGGAGCATCCTGGATCCTCTTGCGAAACACGCACGGAGAATGCACGTCCGAGCGATGGCGAGCCGATCGCTTTTGGGCATATGTCGGACGAGCTCCACACCTCGACGCCGAGGACGCACCCTTGCCTCTTTGGCTGCCCCCACTTCCCCGCCCCCGAGGCTCTCTCGCCGCCCGGGACGGGGCTGCGCGGCGGGCCCGCTCGCTCCGAGCATGCTTGTTTTCTTTGTAGCGCCCTCGCCCTCCTTGGAGGCATCCCGAGCTCCTCGGCTCTCGATCTGTACTGTTGTGTGCGAGAGGGGATCAAGGCAACACTTTTTCAAGTACCGCTCTACCGGTTGCGTGGTAGAAGTCTGCCTTAC